TATGTTCTTTTGTTGGAGACGAGACAGCGATGAATTCTATCGACAATTTTTTGTCAATTTCAATAATGGTATAATGTTTTTTTCATCTATTATTTGATTTATTTTTTTAATTTAATTTTTTTTTTGGTGTATTCCTTTAATTTGTTTATAAAAAATGATCTATTTCCTTAATTCTTCCTATATTGAAATTCTTTCATCAATATACAAATGCTATTTTACTCAATAAAACAATTTTTTGTTGTTGTTGTTGATAAAATGATATTTTGATAAAATCGTTTAAAAATCTGAATTCTCACGATTATATATACCCAAATTATTTATCTGAATTCTGAACAAAAAAAGATTTATCTGGTTACCCCTTTCTTAAACTTTACTATACAATTAAATTCGTTTTTTGATTTTGATGGAAATACATATTTTAGTCTTTTTAGATAATATTATTTTCGTTATAATTCTAAAGTGTGATCATTTTCATATTTCATTACATCAGTCTCTTTAGGGTTTATCTCTCTTTCAACACTAAACAATCGAAACACTCGAGACTTATCCGGCACCGTCGTTAACGCCGGCACAACATACAGCTTGAACGCCATTTGTTTGTTCTTCCTGGCTCGATTAATTCCTCACAGGCAAGCTTCTTTGATTTCCCTTATTAGACCAAACTAGCTTTCGCGTCTCTCCGGTTTCTAAGCGTCACTTTTCTCAGATTTCCGTCGATTTCAAAGCAGATCGGAATTAATTATTAGAGATTGATAAATCAGACTGTCCCCGTTCTGTAATGCATAGCTCGTATTCAAATTTACATTGACGAATCGGGATTTAGTTGAAAAGTGTCTCTGCGATGTAGAAAACCCTACTAATTTTGGGGTCCCTGTGCAGTCGCTCGGGTTTGAACACCCTCCAAACTCGGCCTTTTTCAGTATATTTGATTTGGGTTCCTCATGCCTCCCATTTCCCTTTGATTTCTGTAATTGGAATGTGAAAGAAATACTTTTGTCTTTTGTAATTTTCAGGATCCTCTTGGAAGAGAGTAGGAGCTATGGGTTGGAAAGCTGCTGAGAAACTCATCAGACACTGGAAGATACTTCGAGGGGATAATGTGAGGACACTCTGCTCACACCTCCTGTTCTTCTGGTGGTGGTTCTCTAATTTGGTTTCGTTTTAATGCGGTGTTTCTTGGGGTATGATTTTTTTTATTGCAGGTAATGATCATTCGCGGGAAAGATAAGGGTGAGACAGGAGTCATCAAGCGTGTTATTCGTTCCCAAAATCGTGTCATTGTTGAAGGGAAGAATCTGGTGAGATATTCTTGAATTATTTTGTTCTGTGTATCTTTTTGTTCGGTCTCATACATCGAGAGAATGTGTACCAAGTTCATTTTTTCCTTGATTGTGTTTCTGTGGTATGAACTAGTTCTCATTCAAGATCAAATCACTAGCTTAACACCAAATATAGAGTTATCATGTCTGTATCTGATTCTTATCTTCAAATACAAAAATCACAAAGCGGGTCTAATTCCATAGATTTTGCTACATTAATGTTTTGAATTGTTCAACTTGAACTCTTTTCGTTTTGGATGTTCTCTAGCTTGCTGCTGGGATAGTCTTTGGCTACTCACTGAGACCCTAGAAGGTTTTCTTCTGCTTGTGTTTACATTTTTGTCTGATGTTTTCTCCTGTACTTGCAGATCAAGAAGCATATAAAGGGAGGCCCTGATCACGAAGGTGGAATTTTCACGGTAGAGGCTCCTCTTCATGCCTCAAATGTCCAAGTTGTTGATCCAGAAACTGGGTATGATCTCATACTGCACTACTGAAACCAATTACACTTTGCTCAAGCGAGAGATTTCTTATTTGTATATTCTGTTTTCTACCTCAGGAGGCCTTGTAAGGTTGGTGTGAAGTACCTAGAAGATGGAACAAAAGTAAGAGTAGCCAGAGGCACAGGCACATCCGGTGCGATAATTCCTCGCCCAGAGATTCTAAAGATAAGAACAACACCAAGACCCACTACAGGTATGTAGAATCGCAACATCTGTAAACATGGCATTTACTTATAATTTTTTTTCGGAACTGCATTTCCTATGCTATGCATTTGAAACATGTGTTATACGTTCTGAATCCGGAGGTATATAAAAACATCTCAAAACGCTGATTTGATCACTCTATAAAGTCGAAATGGACTTGATAGTTAATGGTAATAATGTTACAGAAAAAATAATACTTGGCCAAATTTTACATTTTTGTTTGCAGCTGGCCCTAAGGACACACCAATGGAGTTTGTGTGGGAACAGACATATGATGCTAAAACAGGAAAGGGCATGCCTGATCTTTGAGTAACAACACTCTTGAACAGTTTCGTTCCAAAAATGTTGCTGCTTCCAAAAGATTCTTCTTTTTCCCATCTTTTACAGTTTGATCTGGGTCAAGAGCTTGTGAGATGAGGTTTTGTTGAAGAACCTTTGATCCTGACGAAACGTAGTCGTTTTAGTTATTTTCGTTGATCTTGTGAACTTTTCAAGGTGCCAAATAAAGACCATTAGCAAAATGTTTGCGGTACACGCATTGCCTGCATAGATTGACAAAAATATACCAAAAATTACATATTTAATTATTGTGTTTAAAAACTACACAAAAGTCTAAACAAAAAACAATAAGCCTATAATCATGTTCTTTTGACTAAAACCATTCTATGTTATCCAACGACATTAACGATATATGAAACTTTCAAGATCATCATCTAAATACTAAACCCATAATAATAACCTGGGATGTTTTAGGAATATTTACTATTTAGCGGTATAAAATAAAAAAGTTAAAATTACTTGGAGGACTTATATGTAAATACAATCGAATAATAAGATCTATCTCCGTCTTGTCTTGTTAGCAAAGAAAACTGTGGAGAGGTTCTTTTATAAGATCCCATTGTTGTAGCAAACCCAGAAAAAAACTCTCGAAGAACACGACCGATTCATTCATCTGAATATGGAGAGATTGCAGCGAATCTTCGGCGCCGGTGGCGGTTTGGGTCACGCATCGCCTGATTCTCCGACTCTCGATACGTCGGAGCAAGTTTACATCTCTTCTCTCGCTCTCCTCAAGATGCTCAAGCACGGTAAATCATCCAATCTAAACCCCAATTACTTTAATCGTACTTAGGGTTTATGATTTTTTTTCGCTCTCTGTGATTTCCTCTTGTCCCCCCCTTTGCTCTGGAACTCTAGGGTTTCTAGGATTATCGATCTGTTTGTGTTTCTCATAGTTTCATAAGTGTTAGTGCCATGTGAATAAATTATTAGAGATTTGAATAAAGCTATGGGAAATTTTTGGTTGATTGATTTTGTGATGGTGCTACTAAAAATCGCAGGAAGAGCTGGGGTTCCTATGGAAGTCATGGGATTGATGCTTGGTGAGTTCGTGGATGAATACACTGTTAGAGTTGTGGATGTTTTTGCCATGCCTCAGAGTGGAACTGGTGTTAGTGTGGAAGCTGTTGATCATGTTTTCCAGACTAATATGCTCGACATGCTTAAACAGACTGGAAGGTAAAATTACTACTTCTTCTCTATACTAATTGAGTCTTTCTTATTCAGAATCTGATTCTTCTTGTATCATAATACAGACCTGAAATGGTGGTTGGTTGGTATCATTCACATCCTGGATTTGGCTGCTGGCTTTCTGGGGTCGACATTAATACCCAACAGGTATGTAGTAGAGGTTACTCAGTTTCATACTTGCTTGTGAAAATTTCATGAATTCAAGAATTTTTCTTAATAGCTGAAGCACCATAGAATGTTACTTCTTGTCTCCTACACTTTGTTGTATATAAACTTTACATATATAATCTTAGTTATATCTATATAGTTTGGATTGGTGACTATATATGTTTATTGTGAACATCTGTTTGTTTTTGTAGAGTTTTGAAGCTTTGAACCAGCGAGCTGTAGCAGTGGTGGTAGATCCGATTCAAAGTGTGAAGGGAAAAGTGGTGATTGATGCTTTCCGCTCGATAAACCCACAGACCATTATGCTTGGGCAAGAACCCCGTCAAACAACATCAAACCTTGGACATCTGAACAAACCCTCGATCCAGGTGATGATCACTTAGTGAAACATGTTTTCAAGTTAGAACAAAATAAAAGGCTGTCTCTGATAATGGCTTTTGGATACATCTATGTAGGCCTTGATTCATGGATTGAACAGACACTATTACTCAATAGCCATCAACTATAGGAAGAACGAGCTGGAGGAGAAGATGTTACTAAACCTCCACAAGAAGAAATGGACAGATGGTCTGACGCTAAGACGCTTTGACACTCACTCCAAGACAAACGAACAGACGGTCCAGGTAAGAGAAAGCGGTCTTTATATTTGTTCAAGCATTTCACACTCATGTTCATTGACATTACCTCTCTGGTGTTAACAGGAGATGTTGAGCTTGGCTGCTAAATATAACAAGGCGGTTCAAGAGGAGGACGAGTTGTCACCGGAGAAACTAGCGATCGTGAATGTAGGAAGACAAGACGCAAAGAAGCATCTGGAAGAGCATGTTTCCAACTTGATGTCATCCAACATTGTTCAGACATTAGGCACCATGCTCGACACTGTCGTCTTCTAGAGAGCTTCTCACTTCTCCAGCCACAGTAGTACTCTGCATCAATCATTTGGCCAGAGTTGGGCTTTGTTGTTTTCCTGCTTCTCTTTGGTTTCTACTGAATCTTTTCTTTATGTTTTATCTCCTAGCATTTGATAAGGTTGTATTGTACTATGTGATTTCGCTTCTTTTCATTAAGGCCAAGGATTGATTTCTATTTCTTGCAGTTTATTTTCCTCTCGTTTTTGAATTTTATACTGCACTTTTCTATCAAGTATTTTGGTCGTATATGCAGTTAAAGATAAACATATGATGATATTAATCTCATAAACTAAAATAAATCGCTGTAATCTATCTCATACATATTGAATAAGAGCGTAACTGGAATAGAATATAGAAAATTAAAATTGTTTGGTGAGAAGAACGAGGGAGCACAAAAATTATTTTATTATATAAAAAAAAATATTATAATCTATGAATATTGGGTATATAAAAGTAAGTGTATTTGAACTTAAACAATATTTTACACGTATATTAATAAATATTCTAAACCAAGTAAGATCTCCTAAACCAAGTAATTAACAATCTTGTATATTAATTAATTAACAACCTTTATTGTTAATTAGGAGATCTCCTAAAACAAGTAAGAATAAAAGTGTAATTTCATTCTTTTCTTTTGTCTCATTACTGAATTTTGTAACTTTATAATTTTTTTTCCAAATTTCAGATAAAAAGCCCTATTACTGAAAATCTTGCAACTCATGTCGAAATGGTGCAAGGAGCGAAAATATCTAGTCTCGATTGTTGTGATCTCAAACAACGCGAAGCTTACTCCGGCAGTGGAAATCGTGATCAGCCTTGAGTTTCAAATCTCTCTTGTTCAAGCAGCTCATGCTTCGGATGAACTAGTGACTGCCGCGACAAAGACATCTGGTTATGAGGCTTTAGTTCAACTTTAGTATTTCTGGCTTTTTATCTTTTTGTTTGTTTGAATTTTTTAAGTTGCAACTCTAATGCTAATGCCACAGTAGCAATAATCTAAACTCTTATTTTGCCACATTCATATTTTGCCCTCTTTTGAGATATCCCTCCTACTTCGGCAGTGGAAGACGTGGTCAGACAGACTTCTTGGCAACAATCAAAACTATGAGGGATGACAAGTTCACCATCATAGTCGCACAAGAACAGTGCGACTTTAGAAATGCGAAACTTGACGGATTCATATGATTGGCATAGCGTAGCCAAAAATGTTTTTCTCATCTCCGGTGGAAACGTCATGCTTCAGGGCCAACACGATCCTCCGAAGACGAGGCCAATG